TATTACAGATATTTCTGATCATCCCTGTTATCCAAAAGCTTTAAATCAGCCCTCTTAACGGTGCTGCTAAATCAATATCTGTGTTTCCATTTTACAGATAAGGAACTAGAGGCTTGGAGAGTGTAGGACACAAAGAGTAAGAGACAAGATCAGGATTTCAATGCAGACCTGGTCTTCCCACTCTCCAAATCCTCACTCTTTCAGCAGTTCCATATTATGTGGGGTTTTGTTCCCTTTCATCCATGGTCAGCAAGGCTGAGCAGTTTACAACTGTCTTTCCTGCCTCCCTTCCCCCCAGAACAGAGATGCAATTGACAGTAGTCACCTCTGTATCCAGCTGTATCACACAAACTATCCAGGGTACCTATGCATGTCTCAGCAGATGCTGTAGGAAAGTCTCCCTCAGCCCCCAACCCCAGGATGCAGCCTCCTGGCAGCCCCAGTGAGCACAGGCAGGGTGAGGTACAACCCTTGTCTGCCCACTGGCCTCCTAGGGTTCTGTGGTCTTCTGTACAGAGGTGCCCAGTGACTTGCAGGATAAGATCTTTTGCTTTAGGTCAAGCTTGCTGCAAGGTCTGGAAGACCTCCCAGAAGTGAATCCCACACATATGGAATAGTTATCTTGGTCCCCACTACAGAGGAAGAATTCTTGGAGCTGAAACCACAATGCAGAAATCCTCACACTGTATTTGTGTCCGATGAACCAATGGTCCTGTGGGAAGGAGAGGATCTACAGGTGGCTTTCTTTGGTGGAACTCAGTTAGTGGCTCTCTTGCAAAAAAGAATTCAGGAAGAGCCGGGGCAAAAGGTCTCAGGAACCCTTTTCATTTCTTAAAGATCCCTTCCCATTATACACCAACTCCTTATTCTCTCCAACAGCGCCTTCCTTAGTGGAGATTGGGAGGTCTTCCCACGGCCTGGGCTGTGTCTCTCCTCTCTCCTCCTCCCCTTCCTGCATCCCGACGTCTGAGCCTTGTGACCCAGACTTGCTGGGCCAGCCAACCAGGCAGTAAAAAGAGATTGATGCCCTCTCCTCCCAGGAAAATCCATCACTTTTCGGCATGAGGGTCAGATGGCTTCACCAGAGGCAGCTCTGAGAAGCACCGTGTGAGCTAAAAATAAGCGTGGCAGGGACCCAAATAGATGTGTGGACGTCAGAAACAAAGTGGTTCACTCCAGCCGTTCCCTGGAGCCTGGCCGAGCATCCATTCCCTTCTCCCCAGAGCCTCGTGTGCTGTGAGTGGCCTCCAGGGGGGGAGTGGCTGGCCTTTCCCTTGGGAAGATGCAGTAATACAGTCCCGAGATGAGCCGGGTCAGAGAAAGCGGGTTAGGAGTGGAAGATGGTGGAAGGTAGAATTTTGGGCATCTGTGGATAGGTCTAATTGAGTGGCTATAAAGTCAGGAAGGACAGAGTAGAAGCAGCTTAATGTAAAGGAAATAACTGGTCATAGAAAAAAGAGAGAGTCCTTGGTCAGTTTTTACCTTTGTGAATTTGGAAGGTTAAATCCTACCCTCATTTTCTCATCTGTGAAAGGGGTCCTCTAACACTGTCTCTCAAGATCATTAGGAGAACCAGCCTTGAGCACATTGTACGATTTGGTGCCCATCAGTCCCTTTGCCCTGCTTCTTCCTTGGTGGGTTCCAGGAAAGCAGTTACTGCCCTGGTGTTTTGGAGGCCAGAATCTCGTTGGTACATGGGCTTTTCCACGTGCAAGTGATTTGCCCTGTGCATTTGGCCCCAGTCCAGCTTTTCTTTGCCAAAGCTCCCTGGTTACCTTGTGGAGCCTCTTCTCCCCATGACCTGGAAGAAGTTCTCTCCCGGAGGAGGATTTAAGGTGGAATGGAATCTGTTTTTCTTTCTCTTCCTTTGTCTGCCCTTTCCCAGCTCTCACCATCCCACCCACGGCCAAGCACAGGTATTGATTTCAAAGTCAAAGTCCCTATACTTGGAAGAAAACTGGAATGAACCAACACCATTTTGTACTGAGCCCCTGAGAATGATTCATTTACATATTGGGGGAAGATACTTTGGCCCAGGGTAGGCTTCCACCCCAGCCTTTTTCATGTGCTTACAGAGAGCAGACAAGTTTCCCAAAATGTGGTCACCTGCCCCCTGCTACGTTCAAGGTCCACAGCTGTCTGAGCCTCTGCCTCCAGCAGCAGGGGGTTTGCAGCTGTTGCCAGGCTCTCAATTCTCTGGATGTTGAGGAAGGGTTGGGAAATCACTCCCTCTATGAGGCTCCCACTTGGCTTGGCTGAATCTTTCAGGGCCTGTGAATCTTGCTGTGCAGGGAGGGAGGAGAGGAGGCAGGGTTCTTTGACGCGACCCAGGCACTGCAGATGAAAACCAGAGTCCTGCTCTTGGTAAAGCGCCTCTATTCTCATTTTACACTCATTATAGCTGAGAATGAGAACCCCTGATGAAACTAGTGTGGATGGACGTCCAGCTCAGAGTTGGACTTAGGCACCCAGAAAAATGCATTATGTTGCTTTTCCCTTTCTGGAGACATTTCTAGAACACAAGAGAGGCATGATTTCTGTTGCACTGATGGGCAGTTCAGGCTCTGGGAGGAGATGGCTCAGCCTAGTCCACACAGCTAGGGAGGGGAGGAGAAGAGGGGGTAAGTCCAGGGTCTGGGAGGGCTTCCTGGTCTTCTGGAGGTGGGGCATAACTTAATGTCTTTGTAGGCATGGGACTGGTTAAATTCAAGCAGTCAAGGTGAACAGCTTTTTTTTCAACTGGCTAATTCCCTCACCTTACAAAAATGTTCTGTTCCAACGGTTCTGTTCCAGTGGTATCAACAACTTAGAAATGCATATTCTCAGGCCCTGACTGGGACCTGCTCAGCTGGGACCTTGGAGGAGAGAAGCCCAGCAATCTATTTAAACAAACTCTCTAGGCAGGTTCCAGTTTGAGAATCATTCTTCTATTGTGATGCAGAGGGAGAGTGGGGTCTGGGCCAGAGGAGGTTCTTCCCTAAGTGATATGAATGTTCTCTCATATCCTTATTATGCTCTGGATTCCAAGCCCACCTCAGCCACCAGGTGAGAACCAGACTTGGCCTTCATTTTCCCATGAAATTGATAACAGCTGTGATCCAAATACTGTTTTACAACACCTACATTTTGGAGGAATTAAACATTTACAGACTTTCGTAGGGAATAGCGAGGGAGAACTTGTATTATTCCCCCAAACCCATTTTACAGATGAGAAATCTGAAATCCAAGGTGTTCTGTAAAGTACACTAGCTTTGGAGGTTCCAGATCTTAAATCAAGTGCCTCTAGCTCCCCAGGCCTTACCAATTCCTGAGCATTTAGAGGCTGTGACTTGGCACTGAAGAGTGCCTTTACCAGTCCCATCTCCATTCCCCTTGCAGGAACCTGTGCGTCATTGTTAATCACCTGGGAATCATTAGGCAGCAATGAGCGGATGGCCTCCCAAGAGAGGTCCTGACCTCCAATTTTCTCTTAGTGGGGAACTCTTTAGCTTTCCCCTCAAGGTCTCCAAATACCCTTCTCAGAGACTGGGAAGCAGAGGCTGAGGGAGTGGAGAAGGGAAACGATTTTTAATCCCCTACTTGTAAAGGCTGAGACAGAGCTTGGCAGGATGGGGCAGCCGCTTTAGAAATCAGGGCCATGGTTTCCTCCCACAAATCCTCACAAGGCAGACCCTCCAGGATACTGTGGGATATCAAGAGCCTTAATAGGGAAAAACAATGTTTTGTGTAGTCTATTCTGAAAGAAATCCCCATACACACCAAGACACTAACCAAAGCCTTCCAGCCATGCCCCTCCGTCCCTGTCACAGGCTCCTCACTCCTGAGGACAGTCTGCCAAGGTCCTCCCCCTTCAGCTTTTATTTTCGACAAGGTCATTGGAGACAATCCTCTTTCCTGGCTCTGCGATGCTCTTCATAATGTTAATACAGGTATTTAATGGGCTTCTGCCTGTTGAACAATTAATGTAAAGGTCAGTGAGTAATCTCGAGCTGGCTCCTTTCAGCGCCAGCCCACTGCTTGTACAATTCCTTGGTAGCATTCTTTCCAAAGAGGTGGGAGGGCTGAGGTCACAGCTCTGCTTTCTCCTGGCAGACAGGAGAACCTAATTAAAATTAGGTGGCTAAATTAGCAGAGGGAATGGCAACCCCTCTCTCTGCACAGGCCCTCACTCTGGGGCTGTCTCTGAATTGGCCGCTTGTGATTTCAGTGTCCTTTCTCTCCCAGGAGAAGGATGGATCAACAGGAGGGTTTTTTGAAATGGTTTTAGCTGTCCATGAGTAGTTTCTATCATGACCCAGGCGCTGTTATGCTGGGGTCATTGTGGCCATTGTTACAAAAAGAACCAGTATATGGGTGTGTGCGAGTGTGCATGTGGACACATGTATATATGCACACACATATACACATTTAGTTTGTCCCAGGCATTGGGCCAAGCTCTTTATATGGATTCTTATCCTTTGAGGAAGGTATTGTTGTTAATCTCCTATTGCAGTTGAGGAAATTGAGGCTCTGTGATTAAATAACTTTTCCCAACTCAGAAAAACCTACACGGGGGATGGAACTAGGATTCAAATGTGATTCTGAACCCTACTAAAAGTACTTTGTCATCAACTAGAATGTTGGACTTCTAGACCTACTGAATCAGAATCTGCATTTTAACAAGATCCCGGGGGATCCACGTGCAGGATAACTAGAGACTGCTGTATCCCCTCTCCAACAACTATTGCTAAGTAACACCAGATTCCTGGGCACTAACTACTGTGGGCGGTTTTCCACTGAAAAAGCAGTGTTTAGAGAAGTTAGTGGCTAGTCAGGGACAGAGCTGAGATTCAATTTGGAGTCACACTCTGCAACCCCAAAGCAAAGCCAGTTTCCATGCTTCAATTAGGGTGCTAGAGTTTGGTTTCCCGACTGTGGACTTGGAAGCGCCCCATATCCCTTGTTGTCTGGACAAGCACCAAAGACTGACTTTTCTGCCTCCTCTCTGTTCCCCTCTGCAGATGTGCAGCACATCAAGCGAAGGGACATAGTGTTGAAGCGAGAACTGGGCGAGGGAGCCTTTGGGAAGGTCTTCCTGGCTGAGTGCTACAACCTCAGCCCAACCAAGGACAAGATGCTGGTGGCAGTGAAGGTAAATTCTGGAGCATGTGGGCACCAGGGAGAGGGCTGGCTGAGGCCCAGGGAGGCAGAGGAAGAGGCTCACCCATTCTCCACCAGAGAAGATGGTGCTAGATTCTCAGATGTATTCAGGGGAACGTGTTGCAGGGGCAGTGACTTTTCTATTGGACATAAACCAACTTCCTTTGGCTTCTGAGGTCAAAGGCTGTGGAATTCAATGGAGCTTTGCCTGGAGAACAAGTTATGCTGATGAAAGGTGCTGACTTAGTTCTGCAGGTCCTGGATCTCCCGCCCCAGTGGCTCTGTAGGATGAATTATCTATACATGGAAAGTCACTCAACCTTTTCAAGAGCAAAGCTGGATGAAGGGTGGGCTGCTCAAGGAGGCCTGGGGAGCCATTGCTCAAGGGTATCAGATATCGGGAGAGGGGCAGTCAGATATACAGGAATTCTTTATTTATATTTTAGTTGTATATGGACACAATACCTTTATTTTTTGTTGTTGTTTATTTTTATGTGGTGCAGGGGATCGAACCCAGTGCCTCACACATGCTAGCAAGCACTCTACCACTGAGCCATAACCTCAGCCCAGGAATTCTTAAATTCCTGCCAAAGGGTCCATGTTTAGACTCCATGGGGCAGGTGACTGTGGGTAACTTGCTCCTGGAAGCTGCTGGTTAGGTCCATTAACCACAGGGCTTTGTGCTGCTGAGACACTGGGCAGATGTGCAGTTGGAGCTGCCTGGTATGGAGAAGAGGCTTGGCTACTACCACTACCCTCCTTCACCCTTACTCCATGGAGGAGCCTCTCCCTAGACCAATGCTTAGTACCAAAACAAATAAATAAACAAACAATACTTTAATCGAGAAGAGTAAATGCTTTCCAATAATTTTTTTTTTAACAAAACAGAAGTAGATTGCTGACCTCTATTCTGTATTCTAGAAAAAAAAGGAAGAAAGAAAGAATGAGAGTTTTGCCTCATAAAAGGCTGATGCTTCTTATTGCTATACATCCTGTGCATAAACTTGTTCTGTATGTCTGCATTGACATGAGATGGTCAGATGAGCTGGTGTATCTTTCAGCAGCTTGGACCAGGGATATGGAAAGATTTCTAACTGTGTCCCTAAATGTAGAATTGGCACTGCCCTTGCACTTTTAATGTCCAGAATGATACTAATCCACTGGGTGGTCATGCATCCATGTGGGGACTGACTGGTACATGAACTGAACGGTTTTGCACTTTGAGCAGGTAATAAAATGATGGCCAGAACCCTGGGAAAGTTTCCCCTGAGTAGTGTGGCATCAAGGGGCAGCACCCAGACTAGGTAATGCAAATAATGTGTTTCTGTCTGCATCCTTTGAAAAAAAAAATGGAGGGGGGTAGTTGTGTATAGACAGCATGCCTTTATTTTATTTGTTTATTTTTACGTGGTGCTAAGGATTGAACCTCGTGCCTCACACATGCTAGGCAAGCGCTCTGCCACTGAGCCCCAGCCACAGCCCGGCTGTGTCCATCCTTTTAAAGGGGTTTCCTTCTCTCCTTGGGTCTGGGATCCTCACGAAAATGAGCACTCTGGAATTTTACTCCATTGGCCACCTAGTGGATCCGCCCAGCGAGCAGCCCTGAAGGACATGCCTATCTCCTCCAGAGTGCCCCTGAGAATTGGCCTTGCCTGCTCCCTGTTTTTTTTTAGATCTTCCTCCTATTTGCAGGCCCCTTCCTCTTGAGTTTGTTCCCGTCTTGATATAGGGTAATTTTGCACTTCTGGAAAACACTTGCAAGTATAACCCAAGATTAGGTTTGTTCAAAATCATGGTTTTAAATCAAAGGGCAAGATTTTTTTTTTTTTTTCTCCAGCAGTTGCTCTGATGGAAACAAATGTTTTTAAGGTGTTTGCAGCCTGCTGGGAAGCCAAGATGAATACCTGTGAAAGAAATGGAGAGCAGGATAAGACAGATACAATTTGCCTGTACTTGTGGTGCATGTGTGATGTTAAAATACAGATGCTTCTTGGCTCATGATGGAGCTGTGCTCCGATAAACTGATCAGTAAGGTTGAAAAGGTCGTAAGTCAAATTGAATTCACTGAACCCACCGAACACCCAAGCTTAGCCACATAGTACCCTGAAGAGTACTGTTTGCCCTTGTGATTCTGTGGCTGCCTGGGAGCTGTGGTTTGCTGCTGCTGCCCAGCACCATGAGAGATTGGACCCCGGTTGCTAGCCAGGGAAATGATCAAAATAAAAAGGAAGGTGTCTACTGAATTTATATCCCTTCAACCAGTGTGAAGTCAAAACATTTTAAGCTGAAGCATCCTAAGTTGGGGTCTGTGTGTCATGGGATCCACAGAGTTTTGAAGTTGGTTATGCCACTTTTAAATAGTCATTTGGCAAACGGCTCTTACAGGGCATTCAAACCCAGGAAAACCCCTTCCTTTGCAGATGGTGAATGGGGTCTTTCTGCTTTTCTTATTTTCTTTCTCCGTCATTCTGTGTCCTGTCCTGAGTGAACCTCAGTACTCTTCGGATTCATAAACACTTCTTGTGGTTTTTTCTGGTCTAGAGTTTTTCCTGTCTGTGGAGGGTTTTGTTTGAACCTTAATGACCACATAGTTTATTTCTAAGACATCTAATTGGCCCTTAATATTTTGTTAATTTTTTATATCCCTGTTCTGACTGCATGCTTTCTTACTGAAAAATAATTATTTTTTCATTCTCTTGGAGCATTTACTTGTTTAAAAAGCTTTATGAGCCTGCTCTGCAGGAAATTCATGTTCTGGTTATTGACAATTTTAGTCATTTGGATTAAGTATTATGTTTCTTTCAATATGTCTGAACTTCAGCTTTTGGTTCCCTTTTAGTTCGGAGGGTTATTTTGTTTTTGTTTGGGGTGTTCATGATTTCTAGTGTTGGTTGCTTTAAATTGAAACAGTCATATAAAATATTTGCAAAACAAGCTGAGGGCAGAATCTCAGATCTGTATTATTTTCTTAAAAAATCTAGCAGGTTTCCCTTCCCCTCCTAAGAATGCTTTGACTCAGTGACCTTTATCAGGTCTTTCAAAGACTTCCATAAAAACTTCCCACTCTGCACTCCTATTTAAGTGGTTTCTTCATTGTATCACATGATTATTTTAACAGGTTTAACTATCATGGATGAATTTGGTGGCAATCATAGCCAACTCTTGGTAAACTCCTCTCTGGCAGAGAAGTACCTTTCTGAGTATTCAATTATCAGTGAGCATTAAGGGGCTCATGGGCACCAGTCAATATATTCTGCAGAGGTTATGGGTGGTGCTGGCTAATCTGGTCAGTCATAAAGATACAGCGTACTTGTGAATTTTTCCCAACAAAATAGCGATTGCAAAGGGTCTGAGGCACATTAAAACAGAAAGTGTAAATATAGAGAAAAGCCAGTGATATTGAAGTGTAACGAATGAGGGGTAGATGGAGATGAGGAGACCAGGCATTTAGAGTCCAAGACTATGTTAAGGAGTTTGGATTTTATCCTAAAACCAATGGAAGCCAATGGCCAGTTTTAAGCCAGAAAGAGATAAGAGAGGAATGCCTATTTATGTGGTAACTACCAATCCTCCTCCCTGGTAAATGTGCAAATCTCACCAAGGGGACATGACAATGGCTTTTGAGGAACTAAAAGGAAAGTAATTATCATAGTTAAAAGGGGTTTTGAGAGAGAGAGAGAGAGAGAGAGAGAGAGAGAGAGAGAGAGAGAGAGAGGAGTTTAATGTTGAGGAATGTGCATATGTCGAAACCCTCTGTGTATAATAAAATGGGTTTCAGGACATTAACAATATTGAAACCGAGTATCCATACAAATAGCTTCTCCCAACAAAATAAAAGAAAAATGGAAGGCAGCAGATCCCTTAGGCTGGACAAGATGAAGATGTCAAGTGACTCTGAAGGTGCTGGGAGCTACTGAGCAGCCAGGGCTCTGGTCCCCTAGCCTGCTGCCTCCCATGCTGCTGAGCAGCCCAGCTAAAACCCTCCCCTAGGGCAGCAGGTGCTCCTGAGATCTGATGCACATGGAGGGAAAGAGCAGAAAGAGAAATGTCCCCAAACTTTGGAGGAAAAAGAAGGAGACAAGGAAGGCAAACTCCAGTTCTTCTCTTTGCTTTTGGATATTGCTCAAAGGGCCTCGCTGGAGCCTCCCTGGCTTCGAGGTCCTCTTGGCAAGACTCTCTCACTGCATCAGTGGTTGGTGGCGATGATAAACACCAGTTCTCTCCCTTGCCACTGACCAGTGACCCATTTTGCAATTTCCCAGAAATAGTAGTGTTAGATGTGGACTCCCTGAGAGGGGCCCAGTTCTTCCCCTCATTATTCTCCCGTCATCTCTCTGTCTCAGTTGCATTTATCCCTGGGGGTTGGGCCCACTTGTAGCTACACCCCACATTTTGATAATTTGACATAACATTAAGAAATATCCACACTTTGACATAAGAACTTCAGGTTTGAAGCCCCAGCTGGAAAACCCCGTGTGAAGGCAGAGAAAAGGGCACGGAAGACTGGAAGAGACAGCGGTTGCTTTGTGCTCCATCTCTCCGAGGAGAAACTCATCTGCCCTGCGGTGTGTGGTGCCAGCCTGGGAGACACTGGCTGGTACTGCTGGAGAGCTGAGAACGGAAATATCCCATGGCTGCCATTGACATCCAGACTGCAGGAGAGAATGATTTAAAGAGATGGAGAGAGGCCATTTGGCTGGCCCCAAATTTGATCTATTTTTCCCTCTCATAAATCCAGCGTTCACATAAATCTTTATATTCTCCCATCCCACCCATGCTGGGCTCCTTTTTTTTTTTTTTTTGACTTCTTCTTCATGAAAATAAATAAATCACTCTTAGTCATCCTGTGTCCACGCCCCAACTCATGTAGCTCTGGGCTGCAACCCGGAGCTGCACCATGACTCTCTGGCTTGCAAATGTCTTTGTTCTGTTTGTGGTGGGCCTTGAAGCCTCATCCTTTATTCATAAGTAACGCCAAGGTCGCGGGTTCGA